TCAATCAGAACATAAGCATTTTGAGTACAGATTGAGAGTATACCTGACACAACGGTCTCGGTATTCTGCACATCTCCCAGTACGAGTGCAAACACTCGGCCTTGCCTCATAGGCTCTTTTCCAGTAGCTTTGGGGTTGGGTTTCGGTGGAGTAGTTGATGCTACGGCGCTGGGTGCAGCTTTACTATTGCCCTGAGGTGCAAAAGGGCAATCTTTGACCATGTGGCCCACCTTGCCACACCTGTAACAAGCACCTAAAATTTTATAACAAACCCATTTATGTTTCTTACCACATTCAGAATAGGGCGGTATGGAACCACTCCCCTGACTGGAACTGGTTGTTGACCCTGTATTTTGTTTTTTATTCAATGAATTGTTCCAGCCTTTCTTAAACTTGAAGCCTCGTCTCTTACCACGCCACTCAGTCGCTGGTGTTTCAGTCTGTTTCAGTTCCTCGATGTTCGATTCAGCCATTATTGCTCGGTCATGAACATCTACATATTTCAGTAGTTTCAAAACATTGATTCTGTTAAGGATTTCAACATTAAGGTCGCCTTCAAACTTCCTGGCCTTTTTTTAATTGGTGTCCACCATGTGTGGTGCATATTTGGCGAGTTCAGTGAATTTCGATTCGTACTCAGCTACGGACATAGTGCCTTGTTTCTGTTGTTCAAACTCAGTCACTTTGCAGTCCCTAACACACTGAGGGAAGTATTTCTCAAAGAAGGCTCCCTTAAACTGAGCCTAAGTCATAACAGTGTCGGTGTCACGGACAAGCATCCACCACCTTCTAGCCTCTTCTTGTAAGGTGAAGGTAGCCAGTAGCACTTTGTGTGCTTCAGAACACGGAAAGACTTCAAACAATTTCTCGGTCTCTAGGACCCATGCTTCGGCCTTTAGCGGGTTCGAGGCCTCCTTGGAATGATGGTGGTTTCATTTTACTGAACTTCTGCGTTAGAGCAATTATATCATCATTCACATTCTGCTCAGGTTGAACTGGAGGAGATGGGGGCTGTTGGTTCTGTTATAGCCTCAAGGCCTCAGTTAGCAGTTCAACTGTTCTTTCTAGCCTTGCCATTCTGGCCTCAGATGATTCAGGCTCATCATCATTTCTTGCGTTATCCATTTCACTATAGACAATTATGGCAATTATAAACATAGACAATTGCATACTTAACATATTAGCACATATATTCATGCCATGGCCACACACATTTTTTCAATGCTCATGCAATGCCCTATTTATTTTTCTAGGACATCCTATAGCTCATTTGGACACGTGTGTGCGGTATAACTCGTGGTTTGATATCGCTCTAATATCACTCGGTCACGACCCAAACTCGCCCCTATGGGTTTAGCACCGTAACCGGCCAATAATCCATGATTACCGAAGGCCTACTTAATAGTAATAACAGTAATACAGAGTACAGGGGCTGGTGGAAACCAAAACAGTAATAAAAGATATCCAACGAGCTGTGACAGTCTGTATGCAAAAAAGACTTTTCATAACATATTCACATTCTGAACCAAAACAGTATATATATACATGTACAATCATCCATGGCAGGGACCTAATCCCTATTAGAACAGTACAGTACAGGTACAGTCAGTCTATACAAAAAACAAAGACAGAAATGATGAATCTAAACACCCCAAAAGCCCTAGCTTAAAGGACTTGGAACCTCACAGTGAGGCACAGTGGTTGGCTTGACAAAAGGGAGTTAAACCCAACGCTCTTAGCTCCGGTCCGGTGCCTGGACACCTACATATATATATAAACAGTGAGCTAAAGCCCAGAGAATAACATATGCGTAAAGAGGTTAAGAATGAATGTCCTTTCAGTATTTAAAACAGTCAGTTATAACAGTATATCAGTTATTCGATCATAGCAGTCATAAGTGGTACATCCAATAGCAAACAGTACAGTAGGTCTTAACAGACCGAACAGTCAGTTGATAGCCATCATATCAGTAAACAGTAGTGGTTCCAAACATGAGAACCGACAGAGATCTCTATGACAGTAGCGGTACAATACAGTAACAGTAATAGTAAATTGCTATGGATGCCACGAATACAGTTCGCAAATAGGACAAGCATTCATTCAGTAAGAAATATCATTTTAGGAAACAGTACAGTAGATCATTCAGAAAATATTCATGATTGAACATATCTTTATAACATTATTACTCACAGAGTTCTGGGTTACAGATAGGCTAGTGAGCGCCCTCGGATGCTAACCCTACACAGTTACAGGATGAACACACACTAAGTTGCACGTTTGGGAAACAATAACTTAGTCCCTATCTTGACTCGGTGTGGTTCTAAAGCATCATCCTCATTAAGATGCCTTAAACTAGGCCTCGGAATGTCTAGGATGAAATGAGGATGCAAAGATGCACTTTAAAACACTTTTCAGAATTTTCAGAAAACAGGGGTCTCGCTCGAGCATGGCTTTCTCCGCTCGAGCGGACATGCAGACAAAAGAGCTACGCTTGAGCGTGACTTTCGTCACTCGAGCGAACTGCAAAAGTACTAGATGCATGAAATTCACGCTCGACGGGCGCTCGACCCCCACTCGAGCGTGAGACACAAGTCCTCGCTCGAGCGTGCATTCCCTCGCTCGAGCGCTACATTACTCACTCGAGCAGACTGCATGAACTCAGAGTGTACGCTCGAGCGTGGGTCCAAAATCTGGAATTTCCAGATTTGTCTCCAAGCATGAAACTTAACATTTAAAGCATCAAATTCGATCCTTTTGGGCTAATTTTCTGGAAAACACTTTAAATCTCATAATATGACATGTTTCAAAGATCAATTTGCAAAATCAAAGCCCAAAGGTAGTTTAATTGAACCCATTTCCAAACAAAACTTCAAGAACATGATGAACATGCAACATGCATGAATTTAATCAACTTCAAAGCTTCCAATACATAATCAAATGAGTCAATCCTTTCAAAAATATGATGAATTCATGAACTATAATCAAGATATGGACATGCATGTAGCAATTTCCATGAAAACAACCTCAAAATGCTAGAACATGTACATGCATGCATTGATTACTACTCAAATCAACATTTTAAACCAAATCTTGACTCTAAACTCTAATTCACCAAGAACCATGCAAGAAGCAACTCAAATTCATAATGGAGAAGGTGAATTCTCTACCTTATTTCCTCAATTTCAAGTCTAGGAGCTCAATTATGCAATCTCTCTTCAAAATCTTCAAGTCTCCAAGCTAAATTTGTTGAAATCAAGTTTTTCCTCTCACTCTCTCTCTCTCTCTCTCTCTCTCTCTCTAGTCGGTTATGGTTCAAGAAATGGCTGAAGAAATGTTACAATGCTAGCATATAGAAATCAAATAAAAGGCTCATGAACTAGTCCACTAAGTGGCATTTTGGTAGATAAGTCCAACTAATGTAATTTAGCTTATTTAATCCAATTTAATCATACCAAATCAAATTTCAATTAAACATACCATAAAATCACATAAATTCTAATTAGCATAAAACACTAATTAGTTTCGGATTCGGCCGCCAATAGAGCCTTCAATTTGCAGTTTAAAACATAAAGCATGAACACATCATTTAGCAGTCAAACAGATAGTTTTGCATTCAAACTAATACACTCAATCAATCAGTTCAGAATTTCAGTCAATCAGTCACTTAACATGCTTAATTATAGATTAGCACTAATTAGTGGTGAGTGTTGTCACAGTTTGTCTGTTTCTTAACACCTGAGGAGGCCAATAAAGCTGTGAACAATTTTCATTGTGAGTACCATGAATATATAAGCTTATGGATGTGACATAGATGTCATTGAATTAAGATGCATTAACATTCGTTCCTAATTTCGAATTTGATAACAATTTAATCTTTTTATTTTGGAGAAGCAGGATTCCTTGAAAGTTAAAAGGAAGTTTCTCTCTATGTATGAGTAGCAAATTCCTTGAAAATTATGATTTAGTGTACCCTTGTTATGATTTTACAAGTGAAATGGCTGTTAGTTTAGATCATTATTAGCTTTAGTTCAATAAATTTGCTACAACATGATGCATATTGTGTGATCCACCAATGATGTATACTCATTTACTAAATAGTCAATACTTGAAGAAAATCTATTTGCGCCTTATATGGATGGTTGATGTTCAGAAAAAAATCTTGTCGGGTTGAGATCAGTGAATTTGGTGATTTAGAATTTCTTTTTTTTTTTTAAATACAACCTTCACAATATCTTTACAAATTGAATGAGTCCTCAAAATTTGACTCCATTTAATTTGGATAATGACACCAAACAGTTTCAAACTCGCACCTCACCTGCACACATACATGTATATATTGTCAAATTGTCAGTTAATGTAGAATGAAACATCAAACGCATTGTCCCCATAGACAAAGCCTTATTCATATCAATTTCAATAGCTCTACTATGACAAAAGCTGCAAAATGTTTTGGATGACAAATGGATTCCCAGTAAATTATAGTTTGGCCAAAGCAAGTGAGATTTGTAAATCTTTTTCCTTGATATTTGGTTAGTAATTATAATATTGATGAGGACTCTGATAATTAATTGTATGGGCCTTCTAATATGGTTAATTGTAACCATGTCTTTTATTTTAGTGATATGAAGTTTGAGAATGCTACATCAATTTAATTTCATTGATATAGCCTATGTTTTTCCTGATATGCTTATTGCTTACATTACATTCATTATTTCTTGCATTTCGTAAACACCAATAAAACACTTCTTTTTTTATTTTTTTAAAGTGAATAAAATATTGGTGTTTCACTTTAAAATATTGTAACTAGTAATACTTGTAAAATATTACTGGTTGCCTAAGATATGCATTCGAGTTTTCAAAATTTTTATTTAATATTTATTCGAGTATGCAAAACTAATGATTAATTTGAAAAGATTACCTAATTTTGAGTTTTATATGTTGGTAGCCAAAAATGTAAACAAATTTATTCTATTGGCAACTATTGAATGAGATTTGCGGACTGAATAGCTTGGTCAATTGTGGTGCACGACATAAGCACATATATAAGAGAACAATGCTACTAACTGAGCAAGTTAGAGTGAGCAAAGGAAGCCCAATTGTTACTTGTCTTCTAGAAGGTCCAAGTGGCAAGTAAAAATGCATTGGTTTCTTGTCCTCATTAGCTAATGATCCTTTTCTAAATCTTGTTTGTTTTGGATAGTGGTAAGACTGCAATGGCAGCTACTGTTGGTATTGACAGTGATTTTCCCTATGTCAAGATAGTAAGTAATCCTCATAGCCTGCCCTCCATCCTTCTCTTTCTCTCTCATGTTTTTAAATTCTACTTTTTTGCCTATGACAGATATCAGCTGAAACAATGATTGGGCTTAGTGAAAGCAGTAAATGTGCTCAGATTGTGAAGGTATTTGAGGATGCTTCTAAGTCACCATTAAGCATTATTATCCTAGATGACATTAAGAGGTAACTTCAGCTTATTCTAAGTTTGTGTTCTGCAATATGTTTGTCCTTACATTCCATTGGTAATCAGTCTTTTCAACATTCATTAACGTAGGCTATTGGAGTATGTTGCAATTGGACGTCGATTTTCTAATTTGATTTCTCAAACATTGACAGTCCTTCTCAAAAGGCTTCCTCCCAAGGTTTTTCCTTTATTCCATTTCTGTATTGGCTGAGTTATTATTATGGTTAAGTTACATTTATTTTGTTGAACTTTAGCATGACTTAAACTTACCCGAAAAAAGGGCAATAAGGGGGTGAAATTGGGAAACAGCCTCCAAACCACTGTACGGATGTCACGGCCACCTTCCCCATGACAACTAGGACCTATCACAATAGACAAAAGGTCATTAGCACATGTAGTTTGGGAGTTAGAGCTGAAAATGCATTAAACTTAACCAAAAAACGTTAAATGGGTGAAAATGCGAATCAGCCCCAGAACCACCGTATGGATATCACAGCCACCTTCCTGAAAATTCAAAACAGCCCCCGAACCACCGTCTGGCTCACACGGGCAGTTTCCCCATGACAAATAGGACTTGTTACAACTGACGAAACGTAATTCGGACCCGTAGGTTGGGAGTTATAACCGAATACGCCCAAAACTTAGTCGAAAAAGGGCGTTTCGGGGGTGAAAATTCAAAACAGCCCCCAAACCACCATCTGGCTCACACGAGCAGTTTCCCCATGACAAATAGGACTTGTCACAACTAACGGAACGTAATTCGGACCCGTAAATTGGGAGTTAGAGCCGAATACGCCCGAAACTTAGTCGAAAAAGGGCTTTTCAAGGGGAAAAATTGAAAACAGCCCCCAAACCACCATCTGGCTCACACGAGCAGTTTCCCCATGACAAATAGGACTTGTCACAACTAACGGAACGTAATTCGGACCCGTAAATTGGGAGTTAGAGCCGAATACGCCCGAAACTTAGTCGAAAAAGGGCTTTTCAAGGGGAAAAATTGAAAACAGCCCCCAAACCACCATCTGGCTCACACGAGCAGTTTCCCCATGACAAATAGGACTTGTCACAACTAACGGAACGTAATTCGGACCCGTAAATTGGGAGTTAGAGCCGAATACGCCCGAAACTTAGTCGAAAAAGGGCTTTTCAAGGGGAAAAATTGAAAACAGCCCCCAAACCACCATCTGGCTCACACGAGCAGTTTCCCCATGACAAATAGGACTTGTCACAACTAACGGAACGTAATTCGGACCCGTAAATTGGGAGTTAGAGCCGAATACGCCCGAAACTTAGTCGAAAAAGGGCTTTTCAAGGGGAAAAATTGAAAACAGCCCCCAAACCACCATCTGGCTCACACGAGCAGTTTCCCCATGACAAATAGGACTTGTCACAACTAACGGAACGTAATTCGGACCCGTAAATTGGGAGTTAGAGCCGAATACGCCCGAAACTTAGTCGAAAAAGGGCTTTTCAAGGGGAAAAATTGAAAACAGCCCCCAAACCACCATCTGGCTCACACGAGCAGTTTCCCCATGACAAATAGGACTTGTCACAACTAACGGAACGTAATTCGGACCCGTAAATTGGGAGTTAGAGCCGAATACGCCCGAAACTTAGTCGAAAAAGGGCTTTTCAAGGGGAAAAATTGAAAACAGCCCCCAAACCACCATCTGGCTCACACGAGCAGTTTCCCCATGACAAATAGGACTTGTCACAACTAACGGAACGTAATTCGGACCCGTAAATTGGGAGTTAGAGCCGAATACGCCCGAAACTTAGTCGAAAAAGGGCTTTTCAAGGGGAAAAATTGAAAACAGCCCCCAAACCACCATCTGGCTCACACGAGCAGTTTCCCCATGACAAATAGGACTTGTCACAACTAACGGAACGTAATTCGGACCCGTAAATTGGGAGTTAGAGCCGAATACGCCCGAAACTTAGTCGAAAAAGGGCTTTTCAAGGGGAAAAATTGAAAACAGCCCCCAAACCACCGTGTGGCTCTCACAGGTAGCTTCCCCATGACAAATAGGACATGTGACAACTGACGGAATGTCATTCGGATCCATAGGTTGGGATTTGGAGCCGAATACGCCCAAAACTTAGTCGAAAAAGGGCGTTTCGAGGGCGAAAATTCAAAACAACCCCCAAACCACCGTGTGCCTCTCATGGGCAGCTTCCCCATGAAGAACATGACTTATGAAAACTGACAGAATGTAATTCGGACCCGTGTTTTGGGAGTTGGAGCCGAATACGTTCGAAACTTAGTCAAAAAAGGGCGTTTCGGGGTAAAAATTCAAAACAGCCCCCAAACCACCGTGTGGCTTACACGGGCAGCTTCCCCATGAAAAATATGACTTGTGACAACTGACGGAATGCAATTCCGACTCGTAGGTTGGGAGTTAGAGCCGAATACGCTCGAAACTTAGTAGAAAAAGGGCTTTTCAGGGGCAAAAATTGAAAACAGCCCCCGAACCACCATCTGGCTCACACAAGCAGTTTCCCCATGACAAATAGGACTTGTCACAACTAACGGAACGTAATTCGGACCCGTAAGTTGGGAGTTAGAGCCGAATATGCCCGAAACTTAGTCGAAAAAGGGCTTTTCAGGGGGAAAAATTGAAAACAGCCCCCAAACCACCGTGTGGCTCTCACAGGTAGCTTCCCCATGACAAATAGGACATGTGACAACTGACGGAATGTCATTCGGATCCATAGGTTGGGATTTGGAGCCGAATACGCCCAAAACTTAGTCGAAAAAGGGCGTTTCGAGGGCGAAAATTCAAAACAACCCCCAAACCACCGTGTGCCTCTCATGGGCAGCTTCCCCATGAAGAACATGACTTATGAAAACTGACAGAATGTAATTCGGACCCGTGTTTTGGGAGTTGGAGCCGAATACGTTCGAAACTTAGTCAAAAAAGGGCGTTTCGGGGTAAAAATTCAAAACAGCCCCCAAACCACCGTGTGGCTTACACGGGCAGCTTCCCCATGAAAAATATGACTTGTGACAACTGACGGAATGCAATTCCGACTCGTAGGTTGGGAGTTAGAGCCGAATACGCTCGAAACTTAGTAGAAAAAGGGCTTTTCAGGGGCAAAAATTGAAAACAGCCCCCGAACCACCGTGCAGGAGAATCCGTATAGGTGTTCGAGTTTTCGAACCGTAATGCGCAAGAAATGGTATGTAAACCCCGTATTTACATATCTGCCACTGTGCAGGAGAATCCGTATAGGTGTTCGAGTTTTCGAACCGTAATGCGCAAGAAATGGTATGTAAACCCCGTATTTACATATCTGCCACTGTGCAGGAGAATCCGTATAGGTGTTCGAGTTTTCGAACCGTAATGCGCAAGAAATGGTATGTAAACCCCGTATTTACATATCTGCCACTGTGCAGGAGAATCCGTATAGGTGTTCGAGTTTTCGAACCGTAATGCGCAAGAAATGGTATGTAAACCCCGTATTTACATATCTGCCACTGTGCAGGAGAATCCGTATAGGTGTTCGAGTTTTCGAACCGTAATGCGCAAGAAATGGTATGTAAACCCCGTATTTACATATCTGCCACTGTGCAGGAGAATCCGTATAGGTGTTCGAGTTTTCGAACCGTAATGCGCAAGAAATGGTATGTAAACCCCGTATTTACATATCTGCCACTGTGCAGGAGAATCCGTATAGGTGTTCGAGTTTTCGAACCGTAATGCGCAAGAAATGGTATGTAAACCCCGTATTTACATATCTGCCACTGTGCAGGAGAATCCGTATAGGTGTTCGAGTTTTCGAACCGTAATGCGCAAGAAATGGTATGTAAACCCCGTATTTACATATCTGCCACTGTGCAGGAGAATCCGTATAGGTGTTCGAGTTTTCGAACCGTAATGCGCAAGAAATGGTATGTAAACCCCGTATTTACATATCTGCCACTGTGCAGGAGAATCCGTATAGGTGTTCGAGTTTTCGAACCGTAATGCGCAAGAAATGGTATGTAAACCCCGTATTTACATATCTGCCACTGTGCAGGAGAATCCGTATAGGTGTTCGAGTTTTCGAACCGTAATGCGCAAGAAATGGTATGTAAACCCCGTATTTACATATCTGCCACTGTGCAGGAGAATCCGTATAGGTGTTCGAGTTTTCGAACCGTAATGCGCAAGAAATGGTATGTAAACCCCGTATTTACATATCTGCCACTGTGCAGGAGAATCCGTATAGGTGTTCGAGTTTTCGAACCGTAATGCGCAAGAAATGGTATGTAAACCCCGTATTTACATATCTGCCACTGTGCAGGAGAATCCGTATAGGTGTTCGAGTTTTCGAACCGTAATGCGCAAGAAATGGTATGTAAACCCCGTATTTACATATCTGCCACTGTGCAGGAGAATCCGTATAGGTGTTCGAGTTTTCGAACCGTAATGCGCAAGAAATGGTATGTAAACCCCGTATTTACATATCTGCCACTGTGCAGGAGAATCCGTATAGGTGTTCGAGTTTTCGAACCGTAATGCGCAAGAAATGGTATGTAAACCCCGTATTTACATATCTGCCACTGTGCAGGAGAATCCGTATAGGTGTTCGAGTTTTCGAACCGTAATGCGCAAGAAATGGTATGTAAACCCCGTATTTACATATCTGCCACTGTGCAGGAGAATCCGTATAGGTGTTCGAGTTTTCGAACCGTAATGCGCAAGAAATGGTATGTAAACCCCGTATTTACATATCTGCCACTGTGCAGGAGAATCCGTATAGGTGTTCGAGTTTTCGAACCGTAATGCGCAAGAAATGGTATGTAAACCCCGTATTTACATATCTGCCACTGTGCAGGAGAATCCGTATAGGTGTTCGAGTTTTCGAACCGTAATGCGCAAGAAATGGTATGTAAACCCCGTATTTACATATCTGCCACTGTGCAGGAGAATCCGTATAGGTGTTCGAGTTTTCGAACCGTAATGCGCAAGAAATGGTATGTAAACCCCGTATTTACATATCTGCCACTGTGCAGGAGAATCCGTATAGGTGTTCGAGTTTTCGAACCGTAATGCGCAAGAAATGGTATGTAAACCCCGTATTTACATATCTGCCACTGTGCAGGAGAATCCGTATAGGTGTTCGAGTTTTCGAACCGTAATGCGCAAGAAATGGTATGTAAACCCCGTATTTACATATCTGCCACTGTGCAGGAGAATCCGTATAGGTGTTCGAGTTTTCGAACCG